GATGTCTTGGTCTATTCTCATAGGTGCTGAAGAACTTGTCCATGGGAATGCGCAGTAGCTTCTCATACAGGATCAAGGCCTTTTCTTTGATAAGGGAACATATTGTGGTGCTTCCTGTAACTAGGAGCATTGCATCAATGGGTGTTGATTTTATCTCTCTAGTAATTAGTCATAATGCTTGGTTGTGTGCCTTCTCGAGTGGTTTGAGAGTCACCTCTGTGGCTGTAATGAGTGGCTCACAGCAATGCAACATTATTGGCTGAATAAACATCTTGTAAGTGGTGTTTAGAGTTGAGCGTGCACAGTCCCATACGCTACCAGCAAGACGCTTAAGGACATTCAGTCTATTGGAGACTCGTCCTAAATAGATCTCACATAATCAAAAGCTATCTATATTTGAACTTTGAAAAAAAGAGTAATTTATGTCTCATAACCTTTTCAATTAGATCAACTTGCCAACTAGATCAACACTGCAAACTAAACTCTACGCCTTATGCGAAGAATGAAAATTTTTGATGATTGCTGAATTCAAATGAACTGAAAATCAGGGTGCTCTAGTTTCTTTATTATATATCGCTTTGTTGCTACCTCGTATTAAAATACTTTTCACATAAGTAAACCAGTAACAGACGACCTATTATACCTCCAAGAAGGCGAGTTCAGACTCCGATCTTTCTCATTTGATTTAGACCTGGTAAAACTGTTGATTTCAAGCGACTTTTATCCTTGATCTTAGCTGCCCCGGTGCTGATTAGACTAACTTTTTAGATAGTAATCGCTACCTCTTGAACAATTGCAATTATCTCGAGTCTTTATCAACGGTGTATCATCACTTACCAGCCAGTACCTAAACTTATTTAATTTGGATTTCACTTCTAGATTTCCTGCATTGTCAATATGGAACCTTCTTGCTTCGAACCCGAGGGAGAAGCTGTTCCATTTTGGCCTCCATCTTCTGAAAACCCTTACGAGAAAACTGGCGATGACGAGGTCTTGTTCGATAATATCAAATATGCATCGTCAGCATTCACTCGTGCCCCGAAGATAGGAAATGTTGTAGATAGCGAAGATGAGGCTGTTTTTGCTCTTGCTAACATTGATCCATGGTTTCAAATTGGAGATCTTCATATTGCTCAAATTGGATGTGCTGTTACACTGCCTCCATCGATTTCTCTTTCACCAAGATGTGGTCATAGTGAAACTGCTGTAGTAAACACGTTGGTCAAACAGAAGGTTATCGTGCGAAGACTTCTCCCACAATCCACCTATCGAAGTCAACACCACTACCCAATTAGAGCTGAGTTTCATACCTTGGAAATACTTCACTTCAAGGCTCAATGGAAATTTGGATGCCAAGTTCCACCAAAAGGAGCAATGTTTCAAGCCCTAGAAGTCTTCAGGGGATGCAGAGGTGTCGGTCCTTCAGCTGTATTGTGCAGTGATGGGGCGACACGCAGTGGTCTCTTTGTTGCTGCCTATTTACTCACAGAAAGATTGACTAGAGATAGATTTTTGGATCTCTTTCATACTCTCAAGGCTCTTAAATTGCGTCGAAGGGAAGTTATTCTCTCTGTGGTAAGACTAAATTGCCCAATCGTCTCATTAATTTTTATGGTATGACAGCTTACTTAATATCTATTTCAGCAACAGCTTCGTTTCCTCTATCGTCTACTCATATCTTGGGTTGATGAAGTGATGACCATTAGGGGTCCGAGAAGACCGCCAGAATACCAAGAAGAAGCATCGAGGACAAGTTCAAGAACCAATTATCGAAGTCACCCTGGAGGTAATGTGCCAATGATGAATAAACATTGTTTTGATGAATACAAAAGGTCAATCGGCAGTGAGAGCGAGGACAATGATGAAGGCGGACTTAGAGCAAGTCCCCCTCGTCCGGTGAATGTTCTCTATCATTACTATAGTGAGGAATTATCGCGTCTTTTGGCTGGCAGAAGTGTGTCATTCGATAGAAACTTTATCAAGGGTCGCTTGGAAGAACGATTCTTTGTTTAATCAAATGGACAAGAATTTTAAATACGCTTGTTAATAAGAATGTATAATAAATTTATAATTGTGTTTAAGTAGGAGAGCCTTGTTGGTAATGTGGCGGACTGTGATTTCTCGAATTCGCGCTCCAGTTCGTGCGAGTAGCGTTGATCTTTCGTGGAAGGTTGACGCGTGCATGTGTGTGGGCTAAAATGGTTTATCGTAAGTTGTCTAAAATCACCTTTTGTGGTAATACGCTCTTCTAAGTTAGAGCTTTCTAGATTAAAACAAATAATTGATCGTTGATTTACCGTCCTGAAGCCAACGATTGATATACCGGGTCTGCGAAAGCTTGGAATTGCCTTGTGTGCTTTGAAATTGTCTATCGGCCGTGATTGCCATTAGAAAAAAAGCGCTGATTACATTCCTAAGTTAACATAGTGTGCAGATGCCGTAGTGTTAATAATGGGAAAAAATATTCAATATTGTTAAGCATAAAATTCGTGGGATGATTATCTTTTTTCTGTATTATTGTAATTACGTGATTTGAGCATTGTTCAATTTAGAATATTTAAAGTAAATTAACTGCACTAATAATTACAATTATAATTAGTTGAAATAACGTGAACTAATAAAACATATAATCTTGCAATAATAAATAAAATAAAGCAAAATAGTTTGTTTTTGAACAGTTTGATATAATTCGTTCGGATTTTGTTTAAAACGCCGCAGTAGTTGCGCTTTATTTGACCAAACATGGTCCGAAAGCTAAAGCATCATGAGCGAAAGCTTCTGAAGAAGTTTGACTTTATTAACTGGTCTGCGGATAACAATCTACATGAATTGAACATTCTCAAAAAATTTCACATTCAAAAGCGCGAAGACTATACACTGTAAATTAATATATTACGCTTATACTTTCAGTTATAATAAACTCTCCAGGCGCATTCGTGAAATCGCTAATAAGCTAAAGGATCTTGATGCGAATGATCCATGGCGCGCTGAAATGACGAGCATGCTCTTATCTAAGCTGTAAGTGAAGCATTTTCGCGTCTATTTTCTCTAGTCACAATCTTGGACTCGTTCCCACAAAAGCATCATTGGCATTGGCTAACAAAGTCACAGCATCCTCCTTTTGTCGGCGACGATTACCCGCTGTTATGGTTCGAGCTCGTATGGCCGAAACCATCAAAGCGGCTGTTACATTCATTGAACAGGGACATGTCAGAGTTGGTCCAGATACTATTAGAGATCCAGCATTCTTAGTTACTAGGTTCGTACAATATTACACTTTCTGAGTAATATATTTAACTTTAACCTTTCAGACCAATGGAGGATTACATTACGTGGGCACCAGGTTCCAAAATCAAGAAAAAGCTTCTGGAATACAATGGATTACGTGATGACTTCGAATATGAATGACCGCCCCTCTATAAATCTTCTTTTGTATATAACAAGTTCTTTTCAAATAAAGATATTCTTATTCAATACAAAACATTTTGACTAACAAAAAATGGTCTTGCTTATTCGTTGTCCATAGCGACAGCTGCTTCGGCCTTTCTCATTCCCCAAACTCCCTCTTCAATGCCTTTCTTCACCCTGGCGGTCATTAAGTCGTCGAACAAGGGCCATGCTGGCGCAACACCCTTCCATAGTTCTTGCGTTCGTTCGCACTGCTCAATAATTCTAAACTTCTCTGGTTGCAGACTGTGCCCGTCCATAGCCGTACCAGTCTCAGTAGTTGGGTTGAGAAGATATTCCATAAAGCCAGGTAATTCAGCGAACATTGTTATTCCCCATGGCTAAATCGAGTTACCGATTATAGCAATAAACGCCTTTACCTCTGTAGCTATTGAACGTAGGAGTTTGAGCGACGCAGACCTCACTTCCTTGAACGGTTGCTTAGCTAAATCCCAAATGCGACTCAAAGACTTGATTTGGGGGCCAGGAGCACATAGCTGACCGAACCATTCCTGAGTCAATTCACAAATGGGTATCAAGTCGGTTAGATTATCTTGGGCAACTGGCAGATTTATTATGTCCGACAGAGCTACCAAAATCCTTGGAAGGGAATGTGAAGACGCGTTCATCATAACTGCACCAGCTTTAGTAAATAGCGGAGACAAGCAACCACCAAATTCTGAATTAATTAGTAATGGTTAGAACTAAAGAGAACATCGAAGCAAAAGAATCGGAACAAATGTACTTAGATATTCAGCGAGTTCCCTCTTCCCATTAATGGTAATGCACATTTGACCGATTGCTTCAATAGCACAGGTTGTAATAATAGGATCAGATGAAGATAGATATTTCGATAGGCAAATGGCAAGGGGTTGACGGTAATCAGGATTGCCAAGAAAAGCAACTGGTTCTTCTTCGGCAAGAGAAGAGAAGAAATAAAGGTACCCTATTTAAATTAAAATGACCTAACGAGAATAAAGAATTCCTTGCCTGGCAACAGCATATCATGAGAGGGATTGCTTTGAAGATTTTGCAAATCAGAAAATAAGAGATCCACTATTCCACTTAGCTGCAGAAAAGCTCGACCGCTTGGGCAAACGAGAAGTAATTTAAGCACAGCAGTGACGTTTAGCTGCAAAAGAGGGTCGTTTGTCCTTGAAATTGTAATCAACCGATCAAAGACCCTTTGTTCGGTCATTTCCTTGAAAGTATCCTGCCGTTTTGATGCTATATGTGCGAAAATTTCCGTCAAGCGAACGACATCCTCATCCGAACTGATCGATGCAAAGAAAGCTAGTATTGACTCATTATTAAGAAGAATTTTAACTCCATCTGGATGGCATATCCCGAAAGCCATGAGGAATGAACGAGCAGATGATGCTGTTGTGATTTCTTCTATTATTGCAATTTTGCTAATCTCCAGTAAAATAGTTTCTGGTATATTTATATCTTCCGGAGATGAGTTTTTAACGCCGTCAGTCAACTGTGAAATAAATAAAAATAAAAGCAGAGAAAACACTTACTCTTGATATTACAAAATCTCTAAGTGGTAGATTTTTAGACGTAATACATTTGAGCAATTCTGTCTCATGAGAGTTTGCAAACTCAATTAGACGGAATGTTGAAAAAATTACCATTGCAATGTTTAAAGCAGCTTCGGAGAAGTTACTTTAAAATAAAGACCAAAAAGGATTCATACCCGTCGCTCAGGTCCATGTGACTGAATATATCCAGTAATTTGTACTGAGTAACTGCAACTTCAAGATCAGCTCTTGACAAATTTCGAAGAACAATGTGGAGATCTTCATATTCCCTTAAAGAACCTGTTTGGTTGGCTAGCCTACTAATAGACTCAGCACATTGAGGCAACCCAGTCATTTCGAATTATCCCCACTACAACCTTCAATAAATTAATTTTGAAGCATATAAATAAAACTGCTGTTGATATAAATTCTATGCTTATTCAAGTTTATAAAGTTGAGTATGTGAAAGATACATTTCAAATGATTGTATTTGGGATTAACGTGGAATCTAGGTCATAAATTCAATTTTATAATGATCTTCAGCTTCTCTGTATTCTGACGGTATGCATTCACACATGCTAACGAATGCATGCCTTCGATTAATTGCTCTAAGTTTAAAGTTTTTTAATGAATTGAAAAGATAAATTTTCTATGAAACTCAAGTTTAGAAAAAGTGCCACAAAAGCGGCTTGTAGTTTCACTTTTCTGATGATTAATATGATGATTGATAAATGTTGTTCAGTCACACACCTTTAAAGTTTTATTTGCTTATAGTAATGTTATTCACGAATATATGCTCGTAATTTATAATATAGTGGATTGACCACATTATGGTGATACTTTTTACTTATCCCAATTAGTTTGCCTTAAAGCAGTGGCTGCAATTCCACCCCCTCACATTTTCAATAATTCGCAGGAAAGATTGTTAAAATGATGGAGCTTACATATGGTAATTACCAAAATATTCACAAATTGTTGGTTTCATGGAGAATATTCGTTATTACTGCCTCGTATTATAATCGCAATATACTTTGAACTATTTCGAGTTCATGTTCAGTATGAATTTTTTTCTAGTCGGTCAGAACTTTCGGTTAATTTCGTCATTGGAAAATTCATCGTGCAACTCATGTACTTGTTCAAATTTTACCATTTAAAAGCCCATGCTATTCAGATGAGTGATTAAAAATTTGACTCCTTAGAGGCCTTTTGGAACAAAATCTAAGATCTAATAGAAAATATCTTTGATTTTACAAACGCCAGTTTCATTTAAGACTTGATTATCTCCTTAATATTCTTATTTCACATATATTTCACTTGGTGAAGCGAAGTGCTCCGTCATGACGACATGTGGTCACGTATCTGAATTTCTACTGCATATTGCTTTACGCATATTTCATTTTTCAAAATAAGCTTGGGTTGGAGGTATTTTTTCTTTAAATATACTAATTCAATTAAAAGTATTATAAAATATTTCCGAAGGTATTTCTTTGAATTATCATTTTGTTATGGTAAACATTGAATATTTTAGGCAGAAAAAGAGCTTTGGTAACAACTTTAGGAAGGTGTATTGAGCATTTCTTAATAATGTCTACACTCTAACTTTGAAGATCGTGAAAGCGCCGTAATTAGGCCCTAGTATTGCCTGGAATTTATGATTTATTCCTGTATCTCCAATTTTGAGATATTTATTAAATTATTTGTGCTCTCTTTGTCATCTGGGGTTTAAGGTGGCATATAATTTCATCAATATTGTGACCCGCTTCAAGGTGAGCGTATCATTGACGTCAGTGGTTAAGACTTCAATAAGGGACTCACATTTGCCTCGAAGATAACTCAGATAGTGACCTTCTCAACTGCCTGTTAAATGTACTAATTTACATCTTCATTGCCTTGCAAACTTTTGGGCTGAAGCCAAAACACGCTCATCATTAAACATTATTAGAAAGGTCTGGAATTTGTGGCTAATTTGGTGTCTAATTTAGCCATAATAAGAACTCCATCTTCTTACTTACATGATTTCAACTGACAAATCTTTCAAGCTAATTCCTCCTCATTGTTCTCCTTTGATTTCAATAGACGCTACTCGACACTGCCAGATAGTGTTCTGAGGGGTGGTAAGGATTGTGGGGCATCTTAGACAGACACGTAAACCAGATTCACCCTTATCGGTGATAATTTGTCCCGCTACTTCTGCAGATCTCGCAGTGAAAAAGTGTTATGACCTAAGACACCTCCCTAATAGCCACCAGTTTCTAACTTAATAATAAACCCTGATCTAAGCAATTCTCTACATTCACTTCATATTTTCATATGCAACGATTAATAATTTGAGGGCGTTTTAACAACCAGCTAAAATTGTCAATAAGTACTACTGTAATTACTACTATTAATATTAGTATCCCTATTTATGACCACGCACGAGGTCAATTTGACTCAGGGAGATGTGTCTTTGAAGGCACACAATTACCTTTATACCCAAAAAAATTTCTTCCAATAAATGAGCTCTTCATGTCAAGAATTTTAAGTCAAACGAACGTCTCTGCTTACCTAACGTAGCTTTATATTTTCATCTCCAACTCTTACTTTCAATGTCAAAAATTTTTATAAATTTAAATGCTGCCTAAAAGAACCACCTCTGATTGATTAAGCTTTCTCCACAAAGGAAAATAAACTTGAATTACGATGATTTTGCGAAATTTGACGCATTGTGTTTTCATACATCAATTTAATTATAAATGCGGCAGTGGGTTACAATAATTTATTATAAGAAAGAAAGTTTAGAGGGAACTAGGCGTTTGAAATAGCATTGACAGTTTAAAGGACTTCAGGAAGTAGTTATTTTATGCTTTATTTATATTACTTATGGCCTTGGTAGTATACAATATTCCCACTAGCTTTGCTGCTGTTAGGCAACTACTTAAAGGGAATATCAAAGTAGTTCCGGGAGGGGAGGGGGGGGGGGGGGGGGGGGGGGGGGGGGGAAGAATGCAAAGAAATGGGTAATCAAGGAGAAGGTTCCTGATGTTTTGCGATTGCCATTCTTTGATATATGGAGTGTGGGGTGTGCGATAGACTAACCTTCACACGGTGCGCCTTGGGCAACTTATCCTCATAAGACAAAAAATCGATAGCCCGCCAGTTGACTTCTCACTTCAAACTACCATGACCTCACTGTTTGCTATATTCGACCACTTCCACATTATTCATCTTACCTTTTCTCTGCCGTTGTGTCTGCCTGTCTGCCTCCTTTGCATCTTTGGATCACTCTTATTTTCCTCCACTCGAAATTTTCTTACCTTGATGTTCCTCCCCTCTGTGAAGCCCGAATTCTGCTAGAGGGCTAATGATAACTATTAAAACGCCAGCCAATTGAAATAAATAAATAAAAATATGGATTATAGTCAAGTGCATATAAATGTACGCAATACGA